AAATTCTGTAAAAAAAACCTTGTGGTATATCGCCTTCTTATCGGCTAGATGTTGAGCACGTTGAGAAAACAACCCGCGACCCTTGGATTAGTTCCTTCGATTCTCTTGAGATCTTCTATATAGCTAACACGTTTTTTCGTTTGTTCACCTAGCTATAAGCACACCTAAAAAAATGTACACACAAAAAAATCGCGAGCTTAGTTTTGAATCTATATATATATTTATATTCTTTTCAAGATTATTATTATTTTATTGTTTATCTAATAATTTTCTTTCTTGCTTTGTTCAGATTGAATAAAAATGTTATGCACAAAGTAAACGTGAAAAAATTTCCATTCGCACTTTTTTTTATTTTTGAATCGAAAGTATTCGACGATATTATTTAATATATATATATATATATTTCGTGATTGCTGGCTACAGACTTTTGTTTTAAGACTCGCAATTATCTGAAATGAAACAAAGGATACGTATTATTTTTAAATATAGTATTTAAAAAGTTTTGCAAGCTTTAAACTCATATTTATTATATTCGATCATTACTTTAGGGCTGTAAATTTCTTTTAAAGGGTTTTACCTTGCGAAAGTTTAGATTTGCCAAGGACACTGTTGCAATAGAAAATACTAACTATGGCTTATCATGAGGACCCAATTGTATTGTGCAAAACTAATCTGAAGTGTTGACAAAATTTGACATATTTCTTATTTGGAATAGTTGGTCAGATGATATATACTGAATTATTATGATCAAATATTTCCTGAGTTCATCACAAATAAAAATGCATATTATTCATTTGTGGATGTAGAAAACGTAGGAATGGTAAGCTAAATTGGATTGATTGGGTTGGAATCGAATTTCCGATATATACAGATACTTAACTACTCATAACTAAAGTGAGGTTAGATTCAAATAAATACAGTATATAATACTCTATATATAAATACTTCATTTTCTTATCTACTCAATGTGATAATAATGATCATGAGTGCGTTTCTCGAATAAAAAAGCTCTCTGATTTTTGTACGTATGTATTTATGTATGTAAACACATTCCTATGCATGCATATAGTATATATGTATATATATATAGATATTTATTATTTTTTTTAGCAGATCCTCGATTTTGGAACTGTTTTGTGACGTACTGAGGCGACTGCGACTGCAACTGCAACTGCGACGCTGACGACGAGGGGCGCTCTCCTGAGCTCGAATTAGAAGTTGGCATTAAATTGTTCTTCCTCTTGCTAGACAAAAATACTTTCTGTTTTATTGCTATTTGCTTGTTTGTTTTGCGTACGTTCGTTTGGTTTTGTTGTTGTTGTTTTTTTTTGGTTTTTGTTTTTTTCTTTCTTTTTTTGTTGTCAGCTGTTTAGTTTAGTTTCGTTTCGTTTTGTTATTGGTTTGTTTTGTGTACTACGAAACAAGGAGGAAATCATATAGCGACGCAAATGATAAATTATATGAGTAGAATAATACAAAACGCGCTTAAAAAAGAACCGCGTTTGCTGGATACGCCGAAGACTGCTTGACTCGTACTGATTGAGAGAGAGAGCCAAGCTCGTCCACCAAACACCGACTGCAAACGCGACGCCGGCAGCAGAGCAGCAGCAGAGCAGCAGCAGCAGCAGCAGCATCATCAGCAGAAGCAGCAACGGCAGCAACAGTGGCCGCAACGTATCCTATGTTGAGAATTGGTTGCGCTTCAGCAAACCAATAAAGCCAAGAAAAAAAAAACAAAATCCCGAAAGGAAAACAAGAAAAAAGAACAGCAAAAGAACAACAACGTAAACAAGAACAAATAGCGGCAGCAGCAGCAGCAATGGAACCTACAGGCAGCGCGCCATTAAAGCTCTAAGCTTTTAGGACAGCTTTCAGCTTCAGAACTCTACACGACAACGCGTCGCGTCGCTTGGCGTCGCAGCGACTGCAACTGGGCCAAGTCTCCAACATGGCACAACTTGATTTCATTTGTATGTTTGCAAATGCATTTGGATAATTTACAATTTGTGCTCGGCACAAATAGGGACCCAATTCACGCAGTATATTGTAGACATACATACAGTTATACCTATATATATTGCTCTCCCTTTCTCTCTCTCTCTCTCTCTCTCTCTGTCTCTCTGTCTCTCTGTCTCTCTGTCTCTCTTGCTCCACGTCACTCTGTAGGGGGCCACATCTGTGTGATTTTGTACATTTTCTAATATGGCGCGGTTGTTTTGCAGTGCGGTGTGACCACATCAAGCGCTTCAAAACAATTAAAGTACACACTGGGAAATAGTTGTAGTTGTACCACTAATTAATGGTCTACCAAATAATACAACTGCTGCAACTAATTGCAACCACACCGAAGCAAAAAGAGAATTTCATCACTTGCACAAAAATATCGCCACAAAATAAACTGTTTATGGCCAAGAAAGTAATGGCCGTACAAGAACGATTTGAAATTATTAGAAACTCGTTTCGAATACCTTAATTTGTTCGTATTAAAGTACATACAATATTACCAAATAGATTTGGTACAAGCCGCGCAACTTTTACGACGCTTTCCAAGATTTTTGAGCCAAAGCGCAGATCAGTTAAGTTTTGACAATTATAACAATTCTGGGAGTAGCGTATAAAAATGCTGCGAAAAATGTTTGAAAATGCTGAGCTATTTCGGAGCTAAAAAACCCTTACAGACCGGAGACATTTAAATATTGTATTTTGAGTTAAATTAAAGCAAATTTAAATTATATATATTATGAGGAAGTCTGATATGTGTGTCTCTCTGTCTTTCGACTTATTCATTTCATGAAAAATTTATAATACTTTCTACAAGAGTATAAAAACTAGAAAATAACGTATCATTTTCATTCAGTGACCTCAACCATATAAAAAGACAGTGAATAAAGTAACTTTGGAAATTGTGGCAGGCGATTATTAGAAGTTACCATCCCAATTTGGTAAACCTAGTTCTAAAATTATGGCAGATATTGAATTGAGAATTTTTTAAGAATCTTAGTAACAGATTTCTGGTAATCTACTTTCCAATCAAACAAGTTAACTTTATGTAGGAATGATTTATCCTTTTGCTTTAAAATAGTGAAAGATATGAACTCTTATCGACTTACACTTATCGATGTTATCGATTTCATACTCTGCCCTTGGTATCAGAATCTAATAGACGAGTTGGACTGGTAGATTGACTTTACTATCTTTCCACTAAAGGTCTCCTGTAAAAATACACAAGAAGAGATGATGAAACCCATATATCTTTCTTCTTTTTTAAAGATTTTACTCGACTTGGCCTTTATCAAAACGTTTTTTAATCTGAATTCAAACTATATCTCGGATTCAAAAGCAAAATGCATTTTCTTTACAATTTTGCAGCACACGTGAAAACCTATTCAAAATACGCATCCCATACTCGTTTTTCTTTTATTTCTAGCTAATTAGATGCTACATTTAGTTGTAAGCAGCTTACAAAGGGTCTTCAAAAGGAAGGGTGGGCGGCATGGGAGGGTTGCCAATTGCAATTAGCAAACGACCCAAGATGGGGACCAAGTGGGAGCGAGAGGGACCGGTACACTAAAAAAAAACTAGCCCTGAAATTTAAAAAACAAAGAAAATAAGTTGTGAAATTTTCCGGCTTGGCTTTTATATACGAGTTTAGCTTTCATCTGCCTTAGAGGATGAGTAGCTCAGTGGGAAGTCGCTCAGCTCGGGTTTTAATCGTCGTAATTTGCTTTTAATTTTAGAAAACTCCACCCAGCAATTTAGAAATGTGAGTTCTGCAAGTTTTTAAGACAATAATACTGTGGCAAATTTCTAAAACTCAGTTCGATTTTATTTTCTAAGGGTGGGGAGCAGAAATGAAATCAAGTTGTTTTTTGAACAATTTCAATTAATTAAAATAAATAATGAAATCATGTGCGGTTTGTGTGGCAGCACTCCCACTCAAAACCCAAACCAACTCAACCCAAGCCCAGAGTTGTCAGCATTGGACATTCCGCGTTCCGTTGCGCCAGTCTTGTCCAAGCCAAAAGCTGAGCTGCATACATAATCAGGCAACAGCTTCTGAAGCAAAATCAATGCAACTGTGGCCAGAGCTCGGGAAAAAGCTCGCCTCGCCTCGTGTAGAGTTCGACACGCTCGCAACCCGTGTAGAGTTCCTGCCCAAAAAAAAGTGCGAATTTGGAGCAGGACGCAGATACCAGCCAGGCGTTTGGCATACACACAATCGCCGAACGCATCCGAAATTGTGTCAAGCTGCCTAAAACCGAGAGAGAAGGACAGACAGAGAGAGAAAGAGAGAAAGAAAGAGAGAAAGAGGGAGAGAGGGGTATACGCCCCCAAAAAGCAGCCGGCCGGCCGGTCTGCCTGCCCCCACTCCGCCCCCTATTTTTTTGTGCACTCAAAAAATTGCCCTGAAAACTAGAAAATTTTCATTTCGAAATATACGAAAAATAATTTTAAAAATTAGAACGTTTTTTGTTCTACTTGTCAGACATATATTTCGCAATAATGGATACTATTTCGAAAATGTAGAAATGCAAGCATTTCTTTTCAGAAAATATCCTTTTTTAAATTCAGGAACATCTAATGAAATTTACTGGCTCGGCTTTTATATCAGAATTTAGCTATCATCTGTCTCAGAGACCGAATAGCTGGAAGCAACTCAATTCGGTTTCGAATGGTCGTAAAATCATATTAATTTTTCTAATTAAGTTACATGAATTAATAAACAATTTAAAATGTTTGAATGTGTTAAATCTGAAAATAATATTTAATAATAATACATATTTCAACAGAAGCTCATGTGAGGAATCCGTGCAATTGAACAAACTTAGGCATATATTTTCTAAAACTGAAAAATCTCCAATTAAATTATAATATAACTTCTTAGTATTAAGGTGAGCGGCACAATCAGGTGTGGCACAGCTTTCTTGACTTGAACAATAACTGTGCTAATCACTTGGAAAATAAATGTAGTTAGGGGCTCATTAAAATGTGAAAAGAAATATTGGATACAAGCAGCATTTATATATAACGACATAATATTCAATGGTGTAGGCAGGCTGGACTGAATTGACAACATTTTTCAATAGTTTCCGTTTGGGATATTTGCAAAATTCGGTGCCTAATCTCTGTTCATGGGCAGAAACCTATTTTCAGTCCATCGATGTATTTTCTTTCTGTTTTGGCATGCAGCGTTATGCGACGCAAACTGCGCGTCCTTCAATCAGAGGGCGTGGTACCGTCGTCCTCTATAAGGGGAATAGGCGGATGGGGTATACAAGGAAAGAGGGGTATTCAAGAACAGCATGCTTACCAATCTATATATGTATATCACCATATTTCTCCATGTAACTCAAACGATAGTTTAGGCAATATTATTGGTATCATAGTATGTAAAGTTCAATGTGTTAGTGTATGGCAAACGCTATGTAAAGTAAAATGAATTATTTATAGATAATTAAAGTAATGCAGCTTACAAGAAAAGAAGTGTCTTCACGAATAATGGCATGCAAATATATATATCAATATATCTCCATATTTCTCAATGTATCTCCAAGATAGTTTAGGCAACATTGTTGGTATCATAGTATGTAAAATTCAATGTGCTAGAATATAACGAAAGCTATGTAAAGTAAAATGAATTATTTATTATTATTATTATTATATATTATTATTATTTTACATTTATATACTCACCTATTTATTAAATGAAAATAACAAATCGTTATTTTCCAACTTTGGATCAGATTTGACTCTCATATTCGTGAAAAAATTATAGAATATTTTCCAAAAAAAAAAAAACGAATTTCACATGTTAAATTTTTGTGCCGAAAATAATTATTTTAAAACGAAAACTTATTTTTTTCACAATTTGAAATTTTGAGCCGAACAAAACAAGTTGTTGACCAGATGAGATATGCGAGCAAACTGAAATATATTTCTGTTTACATTACTAGCTGGAAAATCTGAATCGAAAGCCTACTTGGATTATTGGAAAACAGAAATGGTCGTAAAATCATATTAATTTTTCTAATTAAGTTACATGAATTAATAAACAATCTAAAATGTTTGAATGTGTTAAATCTGAAAATTATAATATTTAATAATAATACATATTTCAAAAGAAGCTCATGTGAGGAATCCGTGCAATAGAACAAACTTAGGCATATATTTTCTAAAACTGAAAAATCTTTAATTATATTAAGTAATGATTGATGCACCCATCTTTTTAGAAATATAACTTCTTAGTATTAAGGTGAGCGGCACAATCAGGACGACTATTTTTCTGAGTGTGGCACAGCTTTCTTGACTTGAACAATAACTGCTCAGTCTTAAAGCCAGTTGGCCTTAAGGCACGTGCTCCAACAGCTGCCCAACCCTCGATCCCAATCCCCATCGCTTCGAACTCAGCAAAACACACACACACACACACACACACACACATACATACATACATACATACACAAACAGACAAATGTCCCCATAGAATTTGGCGTACGGAATGCTTGCTAACAAGCTAAAAATACGCAAATCAAATATGCACCAAACCAAACCAAGGCAAACCAAAGAAACAATGAATGAAACCCAAACGAAATGCTTAATTTATCAAATTGTATTGCTAGACAACTCAAACTGAACTCCAAGTGCCTAATTCATTTAATGCTATATCCATATTTCAGCTCATCAATTTCTTAACAATTTTGCTTATAGAATTCGTAATTTTTTTATCGATGACATTTTTTTCACACAGAGCACATTCAAAATGAATAGAAATGGTATTATAAAGTTGTTCAAAAGTGTGCAACAAGCAGAACGAGGCATCATCTTAATAGTAAATAGATTCTTGATCAGCACCAGCAGCCGAGTCGCTTAAGCCATGCCAATATAAGTTCTCTCTTTATTTCGCTTATCGATACCCGATACAAATCGATTTCCGATTGCAATAATAATAGATTTGATTAATAGTATAATCAGACATATTATTGATCAGCAGTAAAATTTGAAATTGCATTTAGATTGAGTAATACACGAATATTTTATTGAACATGTATTTAAAGGGTATCTCCTAGCTGAACTCTCTCGACTAGAGTATACTGACTTGTTAAGACCAGCTGGCTTATGGACAATATTTGTTATTTACTTAGTGATAAACATACATTAACAAAATTGAGTTCTTTCATGCACCTCCTCGTTATATATTCATTGTTGCTTTACAGAAATAAATAAGAATTTCATTATAATATTGTCATTGAATAGTATTTTGAATATTTTGCCAACATTTGTGCAAATTGTATTGAATTTGCATAAATCGAGTTTTAGAACAAACACGGTTAGACTGTGCATAAAAGTGCAAAACTAAATTAGAATTCGAAATTCAAATTATTTTACCATTTTATATAATTGAAGCTTATTTATTAATATCATGTGTTCGGGGCGATGGGGTAGATAAAAATCCTTGATTAGTTATTGATTAACTAAACTTCACTTGAATTCCTTGCGGCTGTTGAATTACCATTGACCCGCCTATGTTAAATTTAAGCTAGCTTAAGCTAATTACAGCGTTGAGAGGAGGGAGCATTTTGAGAGAGGCAACTGGCAAGTGCAGGTCAGCATCCAACGGGAAGGTCGCCTTGACACGGAAGATAAATGCCCGACAGGATAATGTGAGGAGACACATCGGCCCAGAGGATTAACGAAATAGTCTATGGGGTGTGACATCCCTCCAGCAAGGAGGACATTATTGAAATTCCTCTGCAGCTGGAGATGAGGATCGACTTCGAGTACGAACTCACGACTCAACTCCGTTGACCCCGATCGGAGCACAGCGATGATTGATACGACTCATTGGACAACAGGCGTCAATGTGCGCTCGAGTCTCAAAGATTTTTGCACCGGTGTCGTGGATATCCTGGTTGAAGAGAAGCGACGGTCTGCTGAAGACCTTTCTCCTCCTGCTTGGCGCCGACGTCTTGGCCGTCTTCGCGCAGATGGAGCAGGGAGTGATGTGGCTGGAAACCACCGCCCGGAGTGCTGATGAACCAGGCAGTGCGGGCAGTATTGTTTGAGGAGCACCGCCCTCAACCGGCTGACTGCAGTCAGGCGAAGTAATCGCTGGCATCTGCGCAGTGCGTGAACTCCTCTGCACACTCGGCACCGGAACGAGTTCGACGCATAAAATGGGAAAGGACAAAAAAAAACATGCCTATCAATTCAATGAATAATAAAAGAAAAAAATTGTTTTTTGTGGAGAGTGACAAAGTTGAGAGATTTAATTCCAAACTGCGCTTTTCCTCATTAGTATCAAATGCAAATACGAATATAATTAGGTAGTAAATGCCAGCTAATTAGCTAAGGCTTTGTTAGCTGATGTTGCAACAGGTCCATCCGAACATTTCTTTTTTGCATTTTATGCCACTCAGCTAAAGCCCCACCCAGCACAGGATGGTTCGCCTCTGGTTGCAAGCAACCCGATGAGAGTATATCCTGACTGAAGTGGCATTTTAACGCATCAGTTGAGTAACGAACGAGCGCGGCTCAAAGGATCCCAACCCACACACACCCACACACACATATGACGACTACTAATTGCTGTCAAGTGAGTGGCGCAACGAAAAACCAACAACAACAACAACAACAGCAACAACAACAACAGCAGCAGCAACAGCAACAACAACAACACTAAAATTTAAGAAGAGAAAACCCAACAGGGAAAAAATATGTGCCACAAGCTGCTGCACATCAGCTAATTTATAACCAAGTCGGGAGTGATAGAGAGAGAAGGCTCTCGACTATGAGATACTCTGCTTGCTTCATGCAATGCTTGAATCGGCTGATAGCAGTAACTTACCTTGTTTTCAGAAAATACATTTCATAAAATCAGAATGTTTATTTACTTCATTTCAGCGTACATTAAAAATAACATAAGTTTCGGAATTCCATTTATTTATTTTTGTTTTTTTTATTTGTGTAAATGCTACTCACACAATCGATTTTTTGTTGTTTATAATATCAATAAACATTAATAATTTAAGATTTGACAACCACAAACGTTGTAGATAGTTCATAAATTCATATAAAAAAATGTACGATATTTCTGGGATTTGAAACCGAATTGACATACACATGTAATCCTGTTGAACGCCAGTCGGGGTACATAAAACATAAAAATCAAACATATTTCAAATTTGGACGAACTTGCATCCAATCACACCCAAGGGGAAGAGTATCGGAAATCGAATCGTGTCTATTATCTGTCATGAAACAGGGCAAATTATCAGTAAAATTAAATAAAATATATATATATATATATATATATGTATATATATATATATATAGAGTACATATGCTTGTCACATACTTTTGAACATGTTCATTATACCCGGTTTAACCATCTTTAATGGGTTTAGGGTATAAAATTTACAGCAGCCGTCGAGTGACTTCCGTTTCCGCAACGACAACGACAACGACAACGAGTACTGCCCCTGGGTGTGTGTGTGCCCGTGTGTGTGTGCGCCAGTGTGTGTGTGCCCGTGTGTGTGTGCCCGTGTGTGTGTGCCCGTGTGTGTGTGCACGTGTGTGTGCGTGTGTGTATGTAAATCCCCTGTGCTAATCACTTGGAAAATAAATGTAGTTAGGGGCTCATTAAAATGTGAAAAGAAATATTGGATACAAGCAGCATTTATATATAACGACATAATATTCAATGGTGTAGGCAGGCTGGACTGAATTGACAACATTTTTCAATAGTTTCCGTTTGGGATATTTGCAAAATTCGGTGCCTAATCTCTGTTGATGGGCAGAAACCTATTTTCAGTCCATCGATGTATTTTCTTTCTGTTTTGGCATGCAGCGTTATGCGACGCAAACTGCGCGTCCTTCAATCAGAGGGCGTGGTACCGTCGTCCTCTATAAGGAGAATAGGCGGATGGGGTATACAAGGAAAGAGGGGTATTCAAGAACAGCATGCTTACCAATCTATATATGTATATCTCCATATTTCTCCATGTAACTCCAACGATAGTTTAGGCAATATTATTGGTATCATAGTATGTAAAGTTCAATGTGTTAGTGTATGGCAAACGCTATGTAAAGTAAAATGAATTATTTATAGATCATTAAAGTAATGCAGCTTACAAGAAAAGAAGTGTCTTCACGAATAATGGCATGCAACTATATATATCAATATATCTCCTTATTTCTCAATGTATCTCCAAGATAGTTTAGGCAACATTGTTGGTATGTAGTATGTAAAATTCAATGTGCTAGAATATAACGAAAGCTATCTAAAGTAAAAAGAATTATTTGTAGATAATTAAAGTAATGATGTTTTAATTTTTTACATTTATATACTCACCTATTTATTAAATGAAAATAACAAATCGTTATTTTCCAACTTTGAATCAGATTTGACTCTCATATTCGTGACAAAATTATAGAATATTTTCCCAAAAAAAAAAAAAATTCTCACATGTTAAATTTTTGTGCCGAAAATAATTATTTTAAAACGAAAACTTATTTTTTCACAATTTGAAATTTTGAGCCGAACAAAACAAGTTGTTGACCAGATGAGATATGCGAGCAAACTGAAATATATTTCTGTTTCCATTACTAGCTGGAAAATCTGAATCGAAAGCCTACTTGGATTATTGGAAAACAGAAATCCAAGGTATATTCAGTTTGAGGTCAAAGCCTACTATTTTAGTATTGTTAAGCTTCAATGAAGGATATCAGGAAGCAAAAGCAAATAACTCCTATGTATATGTATGTATATGTATGTACAACTGCGGAAAATTAAAGAGCACCAACTTAACAATTGACCTTTGCTGAAGGATTTATTTCGACGAAAACTCATTCAGAAATGTTCTTTTAAGCAAAGCTTAACTATACAAAGGTATTTATAAATATATATATATTGAGTTTCTTGGAGTAAGTCATCGAATATTTTCGTGGAAATCCAGATTTATACCAGAAAATGGATTAAAATTAACATTTTATTCACAAGTTCGAAATAATTTTCTCAGAGTGCTTTCTATTTAATTGCATCGCTTTACCAAATTAAAAACTGGCGAAAGTTGCGAAATTTCTGCTCCTCTCTTTACTAGTATTAATTATAATTGAAGGTAAACATCAAATTAATTAAAAATATTCAGACAGCAAATGGTCTCATTTTGTTAGTGTACACTGCAATTTTATCCACACAGACATATATCTATATTGTAAATATATATATACATATATACAAACACGCAAACGCACTCGTTTAGTGAGTCTATTCACACAGCGTTTGAATACTATGTACACAATATACAGGGTGTCATTTAAATTGGGCTAAATTAAGACTCAAATTTTTATAGATAACATTTATTCTGGCAATGAAATCCGAGATATTTGCCCTAGCAGATACCCTTAACCCAATTCCTTACTTATCTCCAATCATACTCACCTGACACATTTATGATATATCTCAACTGTCGTAACTAATCGTCGGATGGGATTCGTATTCATTTATTGGGCATAAGGATGATATTTCAATTGTGTTTCAATGATACAATTATTACCCCATTTTGGGGGAATTATTTTTAAAAAAAAGTAAGCAGAATTGGAATTAGAATTGAAATTAAGTTTTAGTTTGATACCCTGGTTCCTTCTAGTTATAGTTAAGGCAATTCTCTAATAAGATCTTTCTGTGAGTTGTGTGTATTATACATATATACTGATGAACAAGAATACACATATTCCTATTGGGGATTCTAGATGATTGCCACTGCCTGTTGTATGTACTTTTGCACAACTTCATTGTGCCCTCAGCATTTTGAGCCATTTTCAATTTCATGTATTTTATTGTAGCAGTTGAGATACCCTGTTTACGTTGACGTTGCTGCCATGCAAATAATTTGCACATTGCTGGAATTAATAAACCAAGCGAACGAGATTCACCAAAGCACATTTCAACAACGGCAAATGGGAAAATGAGAATGTGGAACGATTGAGGATTCGTTCAGCGAACACAAAGAAAACAATCAACTCTCTGTATGTTTGCGTCTGTGTGTGTGTGTGTGTGTGTGTGTGTGTGTGTGACACCCTAGCCAACATACACCACCCACACCCCCATCGACAGCATCAAAAGCAAAGAAAGGCAGCCCATCTCAGGGGATGCTCTCCATGTGGATCTATACACAAAAATACCAAATTCTCTGTCTCTCTCCTTCTCTCTCTGTCTCTCTCTCTCTCTCTCTCTCTCTTTCTGTGTCTCGCTCTGTGCACTTGCACCCATTAGGAAATTAGTGATGCTCCAAACAACAACAATAATTGCCAAAAAAAAAAAAAAAAACTCTGGTCCAATTTTGCAGCTTTAATTGAAAATTCAAATTTAAAGACTCGCAACGATTCGCAATAAGCCAACAGGTACAGTGAACGCACGCTTTAAAGTTTACACTCACATTTAAACGAAACAAAGTTTACCGATATATAAATACAAGTGTTTATTCGTCCTGCTGAATGTTTTTTACAATTTCACAACAAAACAAAAACAGCCAAAAAAAATCGCAACAAGTTTACAAAGTGTAAATTATCAGTTAATACGGCTAATAACGAGACATCAATATGTATATATATATATTGCGATATTGCGCACGTGTAAACCTGAATTCATAACGAGACCAACTATTATTTATTTATTTTATTTAATTTATTTTAAATTACAGCAGCTGGTGTCAAGAAGAAAAGATATTATAAAATATATATGTGTGGAACCTAATGTACATCAGATATATATATATATATCAAATGGAATGGGGCCGTCATCGTTTAGCCGGTTAATTCGTTTGTTTGACTGGCGGCAGATCGCCTGCCACCACCTGCGTGGACAACTGTGGCTGTGGCTGATGGGCTAACGGAAAAGGCGTCGGCGCGACGAGTTTCGCCGCCACATCCGTCGGATTGTGAAAGAAGTAGAGGAGAAAGCCGGCGGCGAGCACAATATGGGCACCGAGTATACCAATAATGAGGAATAGCGAATACTGTGAATTACGCAGCGCCGGTGTTAAGACGGCAATCAGCACTGTGCCCGACAGCATTGCGGCCGTGATAACCAGCAGCCACTGTAGCAACGATATCTGAAAATAATGCACAAACAGTTAGAAAGAACCAAGAAACAAGTAACAAGAAAGAAAGAAACCTAGACGACTTCGATATACCCTGTTAGACCCCACATTAGTCATGCACTGATGAGTCAAAAAAAGATAAGAAAACTAAAGCAATTCATGTTATTTATAATCAGTTGCTCAAAAACAAGTCAATAAATATGTGTAATATATCAAAAAGAAGCCACAAATTTCAAAATTGTATCGGAAAACGATATATATCGATATGTGCTAAGCGGAGGCAGTTCTCGATTAAATTAAACATCGACAACTTCTATTCTCCTAGTCTCTGGTCTCAGAGAAAGGCATATATTAATGCAGACGGACATGACTATATCGAATCGGCTGATCAAGAATATATATAAACTTTGCGGGATCAGAGATACATACATACGAGGTGTGTTCAAAAAGTATCGCGAATTTTGTGTTTTTTCAGATATTATTTATTTATTCATGAATATCTATTTTGTCCCCTTCAAAGTAATCCCCATGAGATATTATACACTTGTGCCAACGGCCGAGCTTGTCGGCATAAGTGAGAGACATGAGTACCAACATAACGCTACAAAAAAATCGAAATTCGAATATACTGAACCCGCGAAAATTCAAAATTCGCGATACTTTTTGAACACACCTCGTATGCACAACACTATAATACTAGTTTTAACCATTTTCAATGAATTCAGTGTATAAAATGGATTTGAAATAAACCCGACGAGTGGATTCTCGCAGAAACAAAAAAGTGATGGAAATGAAACCTGATCTCTTTAATATTAAAAGATAAACTTAGTCCAGACTAAGACTAAGGATATAAATGTACTTTCTGGAATCTCAGATATCTTTAGTTTTCTTGGGTCTTCTTTTTTTGTGTTCATAGGAACGATACTCACATTGATGACCCAAAGAATGGAGACTGGTATGTAGATGGCCAGGCTGTAGCCGTAGATGCACATCAGCGACAACAAGCTGGGCGTGTAGCTGGCCTACAAATCAGACAGAGACAGAGACAGATTGAGCGAATGAGCGAGAGAGTCAACAGTATATATATGAGTTATAGGAAGGAGAACTAACGCTATCCGTTTCAACAGCATCCGCATCATCGACCGGCTTGAGGCTGTATTTGAACAGGGCCCAAAGGATGGCTGGCAAAATGTTGGCATAGAGGAAAATGCAACTGGCTGCATACGAAACCAAATGGAAATTATAATGCCAGTGATAGCTGTCGCTCGCCTGCTGCAAATAGCTGGCAATATTCCCACTTATCGCTATTGAGAAGATCTAAAAAATCGGAAGAAAACAAAGCGGAACACAGATTATCAATCAGAAATCATTATTAAAGATGCAATCTGCTACCAGCGTTATGGTTATCCAGAAGGGTCCATATAAATCGGGATTTTCGCCAATGTTCATGCGCAAATAGTTGGCAGCGGCCCGTTTTGGTATCATTGAGTTGACGATGCGCTCCAGCACCATGTACGTGTCCACATTGAAGAACTGCTGATAGTACTCGATGGTTAGAAATGATAAGCGTGCACCACCGCCACCAGTTCCACCTCCAGCGCCAGCTTCAGCTTGATCACCAGGAGCAGTGCCACCGCCGCCAATCATTGTTTGGGCGGTGCTGCTCATATCATAGATAAGATCGGCTAGGGGATCACCACGTTGACGCTGTCCCCCTCCCATTCCGCCACCGCTGAGTCCGGCATGCGTTGGCGAATTAACATTGATTTGGGCTGGGGTGCTGCCGCTGTTCGTGGCGCTGTAATCCCGAAATTGTAGCAAATCATCAGCGGTCGGCGTTTCCATCACGTTTCAATATGTATTTTTTCGCTTATTACACCTATTTAACGCACTAAAAGTTTGTTGATTTTTCGTTTCAATGCTTCTATTCTAAATTTTTATTTTTTTTTACTCTCATACGTCAGCTGTTTACTTGGCGCTGGCGCGTAGGTGTGACCGTATCACAATTCAATGGTATTTTTATTTGGTATTTCTGCATTTTTTCTTTTTGGCTACCATCACAAATTGTTCGTGCCAAAAGCGTGTGACCTTACTTTTGTGTGCCCATGGCGGCAAGCGAGCAATAATTTGTACTTCATTCTCAATAAAAAGAAAAAAAAACAATCATCACATCTGTGTGCTGGCTTTTTTCTTATCCTACCTTCCTTTAAATTTCTCCTTCTAATTTATGTGAAAAATTCGCTTTGGTTAATTATTCCAATTTCGTCCATTTGCCATACGCTCATTTCACCCAAAAAAGTGCATCAGGTTTTTTCTGAATTGGGCGACAGTTAAAGTAGCCCACACTTTTCGAAAGATTACACGCACGCATGCTCATAAAAGGCTGGGTTTTTCATTTACCCGTCCACTTTTGAAGCAGGGTTTTTTCCTCCATATTTCTTCAGCACTTAAGCTTGAAAACACCAAATTTTGATATATTTTGAGATAATTAGATCATACCTGTATTGGGATGTCTTCAGCAAAGATTGCTTAGCCGCAGATAACCCCCAAAGAGATTGTGATTAAGAAATGCATGGTGTATTGGATTTATGTCATTTCATAATATGTGGTTTATTAATAAATTATTTTATTTAAATTAATATTTCAGTTTTTGAATATTTATAATATTTTTTCAATGCTTTTTGTTTGTTCTTGTTGTTTGTTTCAAAATTGATTTTTCGTTTAAACAAAATGTGTTCCACTTAATAATATTATAATAATAATAATAATAATAATAATAAACTACTAAAGTGTTTTAAATGGCAACTATAATTTCATTTCATATCGTTTTGTGTCATTTTCATTCTTTCTTTTTTGTTGTATACGTTTTGCAGTATTTTTGGATTTTCGTTTTTGTTTTACTTTTTTTTGTTCTCATTTTTACTATTTTTTATTTTTATTTTTTTTTAATAACAGAATCGAATAAAAAATACACATAAAGAAGCACACAATCAATTATTATTGTAAGGTACAAACAATCGGAAGGATCAGCAACACTTCTATAACCGAGCAGAGTTAAAAAGGCAAGCGAATTTTCTTCTTATTATTATTAGGAGTGTTAGGAGTGGCTAGGCGAGCGAGGGGGTGGCGGGTGTACGTAGACCATACGCATAAGTATTGTAAAAGCGCTATGTGTAAGATACATATGTGTCTATATATATTCTTTATATATATTGCATATATATATATATATATATATCGTTGTTATATTTATAAGCATTGTGGAGCATCTCTTTCTTGTGGGAGGGTAGGGACTGCTTTATATTTATGTATATATATATATATATATATATATATATATATATATTGGGCCTTGGAAGGAGGGGGTTTGTTGTTTGCTTGCAAAAAATAAATATAGTAAAATCATATATCACGCTGGCTTCTCAAATGAAACACATGCGCAATCGATATCGTTATCGATCAATCAACATTATCGATTACATTGACTTACACATACATACGATACATACACAACAACTACGTAATAACTGATACAATGTTAACAATTATGCGGCGGTGGCTCTTTAAATTTTTACCTCTCCAACGTTCTCTCTTTTTTTGTATTTTTGTTTTTTTTTTTTTTGTTTTGTTTTAATTTTTGGTGTTTTAGTTTTAGGCTTTAGTGCAAATTAGCAGCGAGGGGAGGGAAGCGGGATGACCAGGCAGGTGGGACATTCATAGAACTTACATAACGAATTATGATATATCGATATCGATAAATGGGTATAGAGAGACTGAGTGGGGGACAGGAAGGAGTTTATTTATTTAATACTTAGATTATAGATTTTGTTCTTTTTGTTATTGGTGTGCCAAGCGAATTTTGTTATCGAAATACATATAAAGATACACATAATATATATATATATATATATATATATATATATATATATATATATATATATATATATATATATATTTACGTGTGTGTGTGTAAACTATACATGTGTACACACTTTATATAGTTACATACATATACAAATATCAGTTGCATTTGCATTTGAAAGTAGCTTAAACAATCTGCATTCGTATTCGCATTGTCTTGCTTTCTATATAGTAGTTGGTATACATGTATGTGTATATATATATATATACTATATAATTGGATGTATTACGAGAAATCTGGTTGCTGCCCTTTTATATTATTTCCGTTTTGTATTCTCATATGCCTCTTTATATTTGTATATTTATATATATATGTATAATTTCTTTCGTATTAACTATATTATAATTATGATTTTTTTTATTAAGTTTAGCTTTAAAAAAAAATCAAACTCAAACAGAAAATGCAATTTTTCGTTTTTAATTTCTTTAATATTTGTGTGCATTCGGTTTCTTTTTATTTTTTAATCGATTTTCTTTCGTAATATTCAAATTTTTGGATAATACATACAAATACATTCATATATAGCTTAGCCTTAGGATTGTTTATGGTTTTTATTTGTATTTTTTTGTTGTTTTTCTTTTTGTTTTTGTTTCTTTGTTTTTGGGCCTGGTAAAAAGCATGGCAAAAATAGTTCGATTGGATTGCTACTAGTGTATAAAAGATGTATATGATGTTTGTTGTGGGTGTATGCGTGTGTGTGTGTGTGTTTGTGTGTGTATTGTGATGTAACAAAACGATTTGTACGCTTCGAACTGACTAGAAATTCGAAAAATGTCTTATCATATCAATCAATCATGATGTACGTGCTAAACAAAATTTGTAATCAATAATTAAATAATTCGATACATATTTAAAATATATTTCTAAGCATAATAAAATATAAAGTCTTTGCATTGGAATCGATACACGTGTACGCACGTATGTACACCTTACATCCAGGTGTACATCATTCAAATTGTGTGTATGCGTTGCGTGTGTGTTTTTGTGTGTTTATGTTTAGTACTACATATGTTAAAATTTGCTAAGTTGTTACAATCATTGCGCATATCGGAACGATTTTTGGCTTTCATCAATCAACATCAATCAGTCAGTCAGTCAGAGTCAGTCAATCTGCCGTTGCATTCGGAGTTTGAAATGATTCTATATAAGTCTACGCATTCTATAGTACTTTGTTGGAGGGAGAGAGAACAAGCGTTTTTTGCTCGTGTTAAGCTCTAGGCATGCCCCAAATGATTGATGATTGACATAAACTCCTAATGATTGATTGAAATATGGCACTGGAACTAGCACTGGGACTCTGCATGTGTGCGTGTGTTTCTCTATGTGTGTGTGTGTGTGTGTGTGTGTGTTTATAAAAAGATATGCCAAAAAGTCTAAGGATACAAGTAATATAATAGTTCATAGACTGATAATTACATTGAAAACAAATAGAAAAGGTTTCTAATGTGTATATGTGTGTGTGTGTTTGAGTGAGTGTTGTGTGTGGGTGTCAAATAGATTATTGTTATCAATATATCACTCTGTAGTCCTTACACAACTAACCAACTCAAAAACCTGACAGCAACGCGTGGAGTGTGAGTGAGACAGAGATAGAAAGTTAAGGAGGCGAAAGGTAACAAAGTTAAAATTGATATTTTAATCGTCTTATTTACAATATGTGCAGATCTATATATATATATATATGTATATATATAGAGCAAGAATTTTGATCGGAAAGTAAGCTGCTTGTGCAGGAACTACAGAGTTAGATGCATAATAATAAAAACAACTATAACTAAAATATACACCAGTATATTATCTATAAGTAATAAAAATGATATATTATGTAGTAGTTTTTTTTTTGTTTTTTCTTTTTAGTTTTTTTATATGGCTGCTGAGTTAAGTATATGTTGTATACAAAAAACGTTAATTGCATCACTTATTATTTTGTTTTTACTTTTGCTTTTGCATTACGCGCTTAATTTGTTTTTACTTTTGTTTTTTTTTTTCTTTTTTGTTGGACGGAACAATTTACAACATATGATTATGAAACAATGATTTAATGATCTAACAAAATGTAATACTTAAATGCCTTACGAATGAGACTCTAAAATTATAATTCAATTACAACAGAAAAAAAAAACAAACACACTAAACGACAAAAAAAAAACAGACATGATTAAAAAAAAAACTTTTGCTAATGGAATGAATTAGCTCGGGGTGCTATCATATAAGAAGAGAGCTCAGTTAGCTCGCTACGACAGACAGATACATACATATAGGGATGCAATTGGTTGTACATATACATATGTATATATATATATGTAGGGAGAGAGAGAGCGCATGAGTTACACATAATATATATTCATACTGTTTAAGTATAAGAGCTGCACGATATATATGCGGCTATAGCGAAATTGTCGTATCTATCATATTATTTGCACATCAGCTTTTTCTTTAGTTTTTCATTTCAAAACTTGTAATTTGCACTTATTTTTTTTGTTATGTTTCTAATTGATTTGTGTTTGTTTTTCTTCTTTTTTTTTTTGTTAATCTCTTCTTTCTCATTTCTCTAGGTTAAAACTGTCGCTTCATAAATATAAATATAATCAGTAATCGGTAATCGGTAATCGGTAATCGGTAATCAGAAGACAATCCATAATGACAATAATAATAATAGTAATAATAATAATAATAATTGTAATGGCAATAATAAATATGCGCGTATCTCTATAAATATGTTTAATATTATGTAAAGCTTAATCGCTTAGTAATATCATATAATATTTGGTTACACATTTCCAATACTTTATTTGCTGTCCGTTTTATGCAATCCATCAAATAAAGCTCATAAGCGTCTATATACTTTTCGTGTTCTTTTCTGTGATATTTGTCCATTCCATTCCTTCTGTATTCTGTATTCTCTTCTTTGTCTCTCTCTATTATTATTCGTTCTTTGTTATTATAATGTTGTATGTAGTTCGTTCTTAGTGATTACATTAATAATAATAATAATAATAATTATATTATGATTGCGATATTAGGCATTTGCTAGCCAACTTATACAGTTATAAAGCGATGTTCTTCTTGTTCTTGTTCTTGTTCTTGCTGTTGTTTTCTGTTTTGTTTAATACGTGTTTAGTATGCGTTTTATTTATTGTATACTTAGATATCTTAGCAATTTTATATGTGTATGGATTTTCTCAAGTGTCGTTTTTCTCACTCTCCCAACTCTCCTCCTCCATTCTAGATGGGCATATATACTTTTCGATTGTTGAAGCACAAGTGGGGGGGATAGGGGAACAAGGGTTTTAAAAGTTGAAGAAAAAACAATGCAGAAACACGAGTTACAATAACAAATGCAAAAATTCAGCATGAATGTTGTTTTTCTTTATAGTTCTAATAAGAGATATGCATATGAAGCCGAGATCTCGTACAAAATATTACTTATTTTTGTTTTTTTTTTTTAAATTTTTTTTCGGTTTAAATACTTGGATTTCGGTGTTGATTGCAGTATGAAACACACAAACACACACACACGCGCAATTGTTGCTACTAGAGTAAGTTTGTTTGGTTTTTTAGTCACATATATATATATATGTATATGTATATAAATATATATATGGTTTTAGGGGTGATTGCAAAGCGCCTAAGCAGAAGAATTGGAAAGCAATTTGAACAAGCTATGCTTTGATGCTGTCATATACATATGCATATAAATATACATATACACATATCGATATATATATATATATATATATGTTTGTATATATATATTCTTAACTCTAGGTGTACTCAATTAACAATCTCTTGCTTCCGCCTTGCTTTATGCCCACTTGTGCTTGTTGTTCTTCTTCTCGAGAAGAGGCGGAGCTGGAGAGAGGGAGAGGGTTGCAGCTGGTTGGCGACACACTAATGTATATATTTGCATATATAATATATATATATATATATATATATATATATGTATGTGTGTGTGTGTATATACGCTTTATATGTATGAGCTTAACCTAGGCAATAAATATTTGTTTGTTTTCTGGTTTTTTTTGTTTGACTCGACTTGATTTCAGTGTCTCATTTAACTTGGGAATCGATTTTTCCATGTGAGTATTCTTTAAGTTTTGGATTGCTAGAATTGCGGTTATATGTTGTTTGTGTTGTGTGTGTGTGTGTGTATGTATGTGTGTATATGTGTTGCATAGTTACCCTTTAGTTGCATTTATTTGGAATTTGAAAGTGCTGCTGCTGCTGCTGCGGTTGCTGTTGCATCTGCTTTAGACAATGCTTGCTCTCGTCTGCAACTCCAACTCCAACTCCAATACCAACCGCAACTCCAACGCCAACCTGGACTCCGACGCCGACGAGCTCGTCAAGCATTTGGATCTGTTTGCGCGTGGGCGTTGTTAGGGGCGTAACGACATTCTGATATCGTTGATGAAATGTTGACAATATCTCGCGAATTTTAGCAATGATCTCTTGTACTCAGGCATTTGATTCCTGCAAAATAAATGTTTCAAAATTGTAGCTTAACCGAAATGAACAAAAGTCAACAAAGCAGTCAAGTTCACCTTTAGGTTATCAAAATAGTGCATGATCTGTTCGTAGTCCATGTCCAGATCGTCGAGACCCAGACGCTCGCCGGGTGCCGTATCGTCCACGGTGGCCGAGAACATCGGGTTGCCAACGACTGTGGCACGCTTGATGCGCGACGATTTCGTTGTTGGCTCGCTGCTGATGGTGGTTGCGGTTGTGTTTTTGTTGCTATTGTTGCTATTGGTGATGGTGGTGTTGGCAGCGTGGCCCGGTGGTGTCGGCAGGCGGACAATCTCATCGGTGGCATTCGAATTGGCCGCATCCGCCACGATGCTCAATATGCTGTGGTTGTGATTCTCTGCAAGAGCCACACAATTAGTGCGTCTGTGTGTGTGTGCGAGTGTGCGAGTGTGCGAATGTGTGTGTTACCTTTTATTTGTGTTATGGCCGGCGATGCTGGGGCTGCTGCCAATGATGTAGTTGTGGCTGCCACAGCAGCTGCTTTGGTTACTCTCTTTGGTGTGAGCGAATCGAATTGAAAGGCATTCTTCTGATGCGGATTTGTGTACTCCACTAGCTTCTCAGCATTGTGCAGCTCCTCGTGCTGCTGCTGCAGCTGCTGTTGTTGCTGCAGCTGCTGCTGCTGCTGTTGTTGCTGCTGTTGCAGTTGCAGTTGCTTGAGCTTCAAGTGCGCCGACCTCAGCGCTGGCTCTTGGATTAAATTGTGGCTATGACTGTGACTGCGTTGATGTTGACGTTCTGGCTGCTGCTGCTGCTGATGTTGTTGTTGCTGCTGCTGTTGTTGTTGCTGCTGTTGTGCTGGGTTGTTGTTATCGCTGTGCAGCTGTTGCTCGCGTTTGTAGCTCTGACTGTGCCGTTTGTTAATCATTTCCTTATCCTGCAAATAGTTGACAAGCAAAAAAGAGGACATGTTTGAGATACACCACAGAAAAATGGGGGATAAATCATTGAAACTAATATGAAATTGATACTTGATGAAAATCGCTTGAGGAGTAGTCCAAATGTAGTTGTAGAGTTACTGCTGCTGCTTACCTTGCCTGGAGCTGTCTGCGGTAGCTGTGGCGGCAACATGGCGCGTGTGCCCACATTACGATGTGGCGGCACCGGCGGCTTATAGTCCAGAGCATTGCCTTCCTTGCGATCGTTGGCCACATAGCTGCGAGAGCGTGTAATAGATTTGGAGTTTAGAGCTTGGCATGTGCATCATTGTGTAACTTGCGATACTTACTGATCGGCATGCAGCTTGTGCAGATTGGAAGCGGGCACAATGTGCGTCTGCAGCTTGGGCTGCTGCTGATCAAATGAGCTGATGCGCCTGCCGTTGTCATAGTTAATTATGGGATTGCTGGTGATGCGCATGCGCGAATCTGCGATAGACCAAAACTCGCATTATAATCGACATATGTTGATGATTATCTAAAGTTCTGCTTACCGCGAGCATTAACATGTTGATGCTGTTGCTGCTGTTGTTGATGTTGATGTTGCTGCTGCTGCTGTTGTTGGGGTTGCTGTTGGGACTGCTGCTGAGGGTTCGTCGATTCGTTGATGGCGGCGACCGATTGCCTGTCAATGGTCGAGCGTCCCAGCCAGACCCAGTCGTGAGCATTCGTCGTAGACTCCTTGAGGCGTACATCACGAAATCCACCAACGCCGCCATTTGCATTGCCCTTACCGGCACCGGTGAGGGGATCCAGGCCAGATTCGATCATGACTGGTCGAAATTTGGAGGCGTAAACCACACACGAGATGACAAACACAATGATGGCAAAGCAGAAGGCCGTCAGGAGCACATACATGCCCAGCTCCATGGATGACATGTTGCCGCTGCCAAAACCACTTGCCCTGTTGCCGTAGTGCGTCTTGTGCACCGCCTGGATGCTTGCCCGATGCTGTCGTGCCTGCACAGTCGGCTCGTACTGTTGACTCGAGTCGCGCAGTGGTATTCCAACTATAAGGCAAAAGTTGGTATGGATTGGGTTGGATGACTGATTGATCGACTGAACTCACCAATAATATCTGCCAAATCTCCGCTAGTGCGATAGTTTTTGCGCTCGCGTCCCACGGTGCCATCGTTCTGGATGGACTCCTGCTTGCTGACAATGTCCGCATTGTTAAAGTCCACCTCAATGGAGGCCAAAGCGCTGGCGAGCGGCGCCGCATTCGGTTTGTTTTGCTTGCCACTGGATGAGGATGATGAGGAGCTGGCTCCTGGACCGCGTCGCATCCGGCATTCATCGGAGAGGAGCAGCGTGACACGCAACAGATTACCATTGCCCTCACCAACGGCGATGACACGCGGATGATGCGAGGCCAGCATTGGGGCAAAGGCCACCACCTCCGTGTCCAGGCTCTCCACCAGCAGAATATAGTCCTCCACAGCAATATCACTGCAAACAGCAACCAAGCAAGCAAATTGAACGATTATCAAACAATAAAATACACATGAAAATCTCAAAATTCGAATCGAAATAGATGCTTACCGCAACGGTGTCTTGGAGCCATCGTTGAATGCCAGATCAATGTCGAGCAGACCCTCCTGGTATTGTGCCGTCAGTTTGTGCGTAACGGATGTCTCCGCCAAATAGCCATTCTCGATAGCGTTCTCTGGTGTGATGGTCAACTGCAGGCCGGATATGACGCGCACAATCAGTTTGTTTAGGTTGACCTTGTCGCTGCCGACGCGTATCTCTTTTGTGCCAATGACACGTCCAGTTATCGGTGACAGCACCTGGACATCGGTGCGTCCCATTGACTTGCCCTGCAGTATGCGGCCCTTGAGCGATGCTATCTTCGGATCAGCCACACGCAACAGCGGCTGCACCAGATCCGTAACCCGCAGTCCAGTGCGCCGTGAAATGAAGTAACTAATGCGTCCCGAGTTCTGTAAATGAAATGTCAACATGTCAACGGGCTGCTTGAATCATATTTTTTTAGATTTAAGGTTCGATCGATTCTCACCTGATCGATGGCCAAAAACTTGGCATAGACCTCGACGGGACTCTGCTGATAGCGGGCGCGACAGATGCTCTTATCGGCGCCCACATTGTTGTAGTAGCTGGTTCCGTGCTGGCTCCACACATACGAGCGCTTCTTGCGGCGACGCGACTGTTTATTGCTGCTGTCAAAACGTGAATTTCGAATGGAATTGATTAGAGCACAATAATATATACATATATATAATAATAATAATAACAATATTGATTTACTCGTTACTCATTTGTTAATCGATAAATGTAGCTAGCACAATTCTGAATATTCATTTCATACTATTTAACTGAACTTTTCTAAACTTCTATTTAATCAGTCTTCTGATATTTTGCAACTTGCTACTCATTGCATCTTATTTGCTACTCGTTACTTACAGATAATGATTGTCGTCGTTGACTTTCCAGCCCTTTATTTGGGATAGTCGAAAATCGGCTATGTAAACCTCGAGCGGAAATTCGGGCATCCACACAATGAACTTGGCCACGCCCACATAGGTGCCATACTTGACAATAACCGAAGCATTCGATGAGCCCCGCTGCTCCGACCCATCAACATAAACGGAGCTGCACGACGAGGATACCTACAAAACACAAACACACATAAAAGATTAGCAAGTATTTATGCATTTGGTTTTTCTTGTGGTCTTCACCTTGATGACACTCTCGTCCTCGGCATGGCAGGAGCTTTGCAGGGTTACATCGGCCACTTTGCCCGCCTGCGAGACAATGAAGACCTTCATGGCTTGGGCTACCTGTCGGCCAGTTAGGACCGCTGTGTTCATCACCTCCCAGATCTTGGCCATGGGCAGCACCGCTTGTATGTCATCCTTGTTAATCTCCAGTTTGGCAATTAAACGTTTCTTCGAATCATCGGAGGCCATCACCTCAGCGGAGTCCTTGTCCTTGGGCGCCTCATAGATGTGGGTGACGGACCACACGATCTTGCCACCATCCATAATGTCATTGCTATCGTCGGCCACCTCGAGCAGCCACGAGAAGATCTCATGTACTTCATTGGTCAAGATGCTGCTGCTGCTGTAGTTGCCTCTGCTCTCCATGCTGGATGATGCACCGGCCGATGAGGGGGTGTCGGCATCCTTACGAAAAGCGGTCACTCGGGCTGTGGTATGCTTGGGATTCTCCTTCTCAATGCTGATGCTCCACTGATCGCTGGAGGCGCTGGCGCCAATGATCCGCAGACCGGCCTTGACACGGGCGCGCACCGTCAATGCGGCGATACGCTGCTCCTGATCTGCATACTGATGCAGAAAGACGGGCACATGCAGCTTGGACATGGGATACAGGGGATGCTGGGGCAGGAGGAATGTAACCGAATCGTCGGCGCGCAGCTCCTTGAACGCCGTCTTGGGCGCCATCAATGGCACCTGGGCAAATGTCGTCAACGGTTGGATTTGTACCTTGGGCTCACACTGTTCCGGATTGCGCAGCGGTGGCTCGAACACACTGTACGAGACCTGAGCATATCGCTGCGGCACTTTTGGTGGCAATGAAGACCCAACGCCGCCGCCGGCACCACCGCTGCTACTGATGCTCTCCCTGGTATGATATGGCGCTGGTAGCGGTGGCCACCAGCCGAGTGGAATGACCACCTCGGCAACGCAGACACCATCCTCGCCCTCGGGCATACAACGGCCCTTGAGCGGCTGCTCATTGCCCATGGACACGTGCAGCAGGACGCACACCTTCTGCCGCTGCATATGGCCGCCCGGATCGGCGCCGGCATGGAAGAGGACGCGCAGCACTGGTGAATCCTGCGAAACGCTGCCACGCACCAAATGCGCCGATATATCCAGATGCATATTGGGCTGCTGCAGTTCGAGCAGCGTGGCCGTTGAGTTCTGTGGAGTGGAATGGAATGAATGAGTTTGTTTCTCGAATCTGGATTCTCCAAGACTTACGTTCACATAATCGCCTGCTTGTCCATTATTATTATTGTTGTTATTGTTGTTGTCCATTGTGTCCGGCACAATGTAGCGTGCGGGCACCGTTTGCTTGGTGGAGAACGGACCGTAGCTGGCGCGTATGGAGACGGGCTGTGTTGTCTCCACGACGGTGAAGCGATCCAGCGATAACACCGAATCGTACGAGGAGCGTGCCTTTGATGATGATGATGCCATCGAGCCCATCGATGGCGATTGCACGTTTGCAATCTCCGGCGTCACAGGTGGTTGCCTGGCGTGCTTCAGAAAGAAACCGCTGTCCGGCGCCTCAAAGTGCACCTCGACGGTGGCGATGTGCTCTGCAATCGATAAGTGTGCAATCGATAATTGTATGTAATCAATCACACAAGAGTGGAAGACTGGGAAGGAGATATAGAGAGAGAGTTGGACATCCTCTCACCTCCCCCACACCCCCCCCCCCCTCCACGAGCCCCACGCGCGTTTAATTAGTTTTACGACTTACGTGCAATTGACAGCAGCATCAGCATCGTAATAATTACGCAGCACTTCATGGTGTGGATTTCAATGACGCCTGCGCTCGTTTGTTTACCGATTGGATTGATTGGACTCCTCTTCTGTACGTGTGTGTGTGTGTGTGTTGATTGAAATGCGTTTTCAGATAGTTTTTTTTTTTTTTTTAGTTATTTTGAATTGATTTGTGTACACACTGTTTAATTATTTTGTTTGTTTTTTTTGCAGTTAATGGAAGTTTGAATGGTTTACTGTTAATTTTCACTGCAGTCGCAGTCTTTTTTTCTATTTTAGTTTTTCTTTTCTCTTTGGACTGAATTAAAGTTCACAAATTGTTTTGCACAGACGCACGCACATATTACAGTTATAAATTTTGCACACCGTTTACCGTTACGATTTGAGCAGAAACTTATACCGAATATTTATACTTTATACATATATGCAATTTGTTAACAACAGTTGCATTTTTTTTTGCCTTTCTCTGCTGCTGGTGCTGCTTCTGCTGCTGCTGCTGTTTCAGCTGCAAAAATCTACAGCACATCCTTTATTGATTCTTTCAGTGTGCACACACACACGCACACACACATTGAGAGACAGGCGAATACGCATACGTATACATATACACATACATACACATACTAGTAGCACATACACATGCACAGTTAGCTGGTGTGCCTTGGTCGCAATCGCCTTCGCCTACATATACATATACATCTACATATACACACACACAGTTTCATTCATTTGGGCCGTGGTATAGACACATCTTCGGGGAGTCTCTTTTACTTTTCTTTCTTTGGTTTGGTTTTGGTTTTTGCAGAAGTCGAATTAGCAATGCACTTGATGCGATTGGGGCGCACTGTTTGAAATGGTTATTGCCACTTCTTTAGCACTAGCTAACAAGTTCATTAATACATTGCTCTTGGTTTAACTATACAATTTTTTTAGCCAAATATCGAACATTTCCAAACACCCCAATAGTTCCTTGGACTAGGGATGGTGAAAACTATCGATGTATTCAGCTAATTGTAAAATATTTGCTTTCGATAAGATATCGCATTTGAGCATCGATATTAACAAATATGTCTATGTTCAAAATGAAACGAGTGGCAGCCCGCCAAATGTCAGCTGCTGCACGACTACGCTGACATATAGATGGCGACACATGTCACTCGAAATTCTTGGCGCGTAATTCAAAGTAGAAACTAATTTTAAATGAAAATAGAGACAACACTTTAAGAAACATTTTAGTTTTATTTAACAGCTTTTGTAGGAGTTTTAACAGTTCGAGATTGGGCAATGACATCAATTAAGTACTCATGAAGCAAAATTCCCATTGGATTTATCTTGCAGGTTGGCACCAGCTGCTGCTGCTAATTTGCCTGCAAGACAGCAAAATAAGCAAATAAATTAATCAATGCGCTGACCGCTTTAATGCTGACCACTTTGCACGATTACAACTGCAAAATAATTCACGAAACTGTAAATTCGGCAGCATAAAGCAGACAAAGAAAAATATTTACACCGTACTTGAAATTGAAATGGCCGCCATTTTATCTGCTGTCTGCGAGTGTGCGATTGTGCGAGTGAGAGAGCTAGCAACACAACAACTGCATCTGCAGCATCCAAATGCATGTGCATGTCTGTGCCTGTGTGCGTGTGTGTGAGCAGTTCTTGCTTTCTGATTGGGCTGATTGGCTCAAGCACTGATTATGTTCAGTAGCAGCATGAAGACTGCTCAGACAAACAGAGGATCGTTTCTTCTTCTTTTTGCTTTATTTAAATTAAATTTTTTGGTGACCAACTACCGTTTCGTGCCGCATACCAGACACATTCCAGCAACAACAACAACAAGAGCTAAGCACAAATCATGCATATTTTGAAAGAAACTTTGGCAGCAGCAGCAGCAATTTTTTATTGATTTGTGAATAAATAGAAAACACACACAAACACACACACACACACACATACACACACACAGACACACACATTTGCAAAACGTGAACGCATGAATTAATTCAAAATTCCGTTGGTGCCCGCTACGCGAAAGTGGTTAACATAAGCAAAGGCTGATAAGTCAGCAGCAGCAGCAGCAACAAAAACAACAAAAACAACAACAACAATAATAATAATAATATCAAAGTCTAACTTAACGTTTCGTTGTCTGCCTCCACCTTTTGTTCATTTATGAGCAATATTAATGAAAGTTCTTTAATTATGCTTTGGTTTTTTTTTTTTTTTGGTTTTTTGGCAACACTGCGCATTCGTCGATGTTCGATTAATCAACCGATAAATAAATTCAGTGCATACACAGTTATTTAGTTCTAATTGCATAAGGACACACACACACTCTCACACATGCACACATGCACAGTTGAACTTGTGGGCGTGCATTAATTTCCACACACATAAAGGGTCGAATGCACTGCGCAAAAAAGCCTGCTGTTAAAATCGAAGCAACTCTTTGTTTATTCCATAAACCAAAACTGTTGTAAAAGTTAACTTAGTCTAAATAATTTCTTGAGTATTTGATGGTTTCTATTTGTAATCTTCTTTTTTTCTCTGCGTGTAGCTGATGTGCATATGTATGTGTGTTACCCCCCAACCGTGCTTCGCCCACTTCTACTTAGGTACACATTAACGAGATACGATCGTCAGAAATTGACGAGAAAAGTTGCCATGTTGTTGTTGTTGGCCATTTGTTGCATGTCTGCACGCGCAACGCACTTGACTGGCTGCCACTGTTTGTTGCCGCTGTTCGCTGTTTGCTGCCTGCTGCCTGGGGATTGTGGGGGCCATTCTTGAATGACGACCACAGCGACACCTTCTCCATACCAAATCAACTGGATGTGGAGACTCCAATAGAAGCTGCTGCTGCTGCTGGTTGCTGCTACTACTGCTGGTTGTTGTTCTTGTTGTTGCGGCTGCTGGTTGTTGTTGTTGTTGCTGCGGCTGCTTGAAGATGTGTTGTAATTTAATGGCCTCTTTATTTTTCTTACATTATTATTATTCAGAAGTGCTCGCGCAGCCGCCAGCCAACATTTCTCTCTGTCAATTGATCTTTTGTTCACTTTTCTTGATAATAGTCTCTCTCTCTCTCTCTCGCTCTCTCTCGCTCTCTCTGTCTCGCTTGCACCCAGGCTCGTCCATTATTTCTTCCATGGTGCACTCAGCGAAACAATGTGTTTTAGTATTTAGAAAATCTCATTCTATTAATCAAATTGTTCATTTTCTTAGATTAAGTATTTTTACACCCAACCCAAGAAGAAAGTGTTTTTAAGCAAGACAATAACAGAGATGATTTAAGGTTCTTCATTCTAGCCTAAGCGCACTTAATGAAAGAATATATATATTTTTGCTTAAGACACTTTCACTGGGTAATTGTACAATTTATGTAGGAAATTTACTTACAATTTTATAAAAATGCATTTTAATAATCCCACAAACTTTGTTCTTCGCTTTGATTTCACATATTTAACTTAATTATTTTATGCCACGCAATTTTTGTGAAATTTAGAAATTTAAAAAAAATATATGTAAAACAAAAAAACTAAATAAATATAAATAAGCTATTAGTCATAGCTTGATTTTTTCCGAGTGTGTCTTAAAAAAAAGCTTCTTCGGCTGCATGGAAATTTATGATGTATCATTAGCATGCAAAAAGAGTGGACACCAAATGGCCACGACTAAGCGACTCATGTGTGTGTGTGTGTGTGTTACATACATACATACATACTTACATACATATTTACATACATACTTACATACTTACACACACACATATGTAGGTGTGGAGCTGGGATGGAGCTGAAGCAGCAACCGCCTTTTAAGCCGGATCAAATAGAGCGATTTTATTGTTTTTTTTTTTTTGTGGCCTGATTCTTGCTTCTATTTTGAGGCTTGTTAATCTCAAAATAAAAACAAAAAATACAGCAGCAAATATCTAAATCTATAGCCATTTGAATATGTATATGTCCATGGAAATTTATTGTGTGGCAATAAATTGATTGTTTTGTCGCTTTGCAGCAGACAGCGTCGTAGAAATCTTCAAAATTCAAAATTCCACTTATTTTTGCTGTCAGAGGTCAAATTCGCTTTCTTTATTCTCATTTCGAACAACGGGAGGGAAATCTATTCAATTTGCTAGCTTTTTGGGAGCACAAATGTATTCATGAATATGGGACACACCCAGTAACTAACAAGTATCTAAAGAGGAGTATTTTTAACTTCTTCAATAGTTAAAGGCGACTCTGACCCCAGAAAGTGTACATATATCCATGATCAGTATATATAGATAAAATTATATCTATATATATATGTATATATATATATATATAGATAAAATTCTGTGTCTCTTCGAAACCGCTTAGATCTGATTAATAAGCATTCAACTAACGGATGAAGGTCCTTTTTCTACTCAATAATTAGGGTTGTTCTAGACAATGAATGAATATTTATAAATACATATATATATAAATATATATATATATATTTATACTTTTTAAAGGTTTTTTTTTTTTAAATCAATAAAATAGGACTCATTATTCACCCGCACACCGGGTCTTTTTGGGCCAACACAGTCATTTTACGTGGAATCAACGAACTTTCGATGGTTAGTTAAATGATTTAGATGCGGTGGTTTTTTGTTTTTTGCCCTTTGACTACAAACTTTCTTCCGCCTTATTTGGCAATTTTTTTGGTGGATCATCTTGTCGCTATTGTTGTCGTTGGTATTTCTTTTCGGGGTTATTAGTTGACCATTGACCCCAAGATTCGATCGATCGACCGATCGACTGGCCGAAAGCTGGCGAAAACAAGTTCTTGGCAGCGAGAAGTCAGAAAGCCAATTATGAATAGCTAAAATATACATACGTGTGTGAATGCTATGTACACTTGGAGAAAACATATGCTATTTTCGCATTATTATTTATTATCGTCTCATCTATGTAAAAATATATATTTTAATAAATCAAGCAAAAAATCCAAATTAAAAAAAACGATTAAGTTCCTTTCTTGATGCAAGACTAACTAGTTTTATTTAAAGTTGATTGATTTATGATTGATTGATTTATGAACTTCAGTTCACAAAATATCCTTCCGCGCATATCCTTAACTCTAAGCAATCAAGATGAACTGAGAATAGTTATTGAAGCTGTTGAACTTTAGACTACAAAGCGAACAGGTTAATTTGTTGTTTTTTTTCTGAGTGTATGTTTATGCATATATATATATATATATCTATGTGTGTGTGTGTGTGTTAGTTAGATTTTGGCTAAAGATCTAGCTGATGAATAATGCAGAGCAATTAACTGTGGGTCAATAGGTCTGCGGCGAGCTAATATAAGCCGCAACCAAATTTTGGCAGCTCAGTTTAGTCGCGAGATTCGAAGAGATTCCATGCCGAGATGGGGAAACGCTGCCTCTTGCTGCTAATTTCTGTTGCCGTCGTCTGCTGGCTAACAATCGCCTCGAGCGTTGCCGGCGACACGAGGATCGAGGTGGACGCGAATGGCAATGAGTACGAAGTGAAACGCTTTCACATCGAGGGACGCCAGCTGAATGGCCAAGGCAGCAAGTCCCAGTGTGTGGTCACCCGGCGCAAGCGTGCCAGCCGTGCGATGGCCCCACTGCCGGCCAGCGTCACCGTCAACTCCCAGCAGTTGACCCTGACTCCCGCTGCCGGCATTGATGGTGTCGCCATTCCACTGCCCGTTAAATCGGAACAGTCGAACGGCAAGCGACGCTATGTTGCCTTGGCAACAGTGCAGCTCCATGAAGACGATGAGGATGACGATGATGGCGATGCTGAGGAAGACGATGAGCAAGACGAGAATGACAATGATGAGCAGACGCACTTTATCCAATTGCAGACGGCACAGGATGTGAACGATGGTGCTCAGGGTCATCGGGCGCAGTTGTCGCAGGGCGTCAGTGTTGTGGCCAATGCGGCCACCAATGCGAATGTGGGCGGGGAGGCGGGCATTGTGGTCGTCGAATCGCAACAGCCGCCCAAGGTCAATCCCAGCACACATGCCGTCTTCGAGCTGAAGCCGCTGTCCCAGTCGCATCTGCCACAGCTGGCACAGCTGCCACACTCGAACGTGGCCTACTGGCCACAGATTGCGGACTTGGATGACGATGACGATGTGGATGTGGCCGGCAATCAGGATGAAGATGATATATTCTACTATGGCGATCGGTATCAGCCAGTAGGCTTCTACGAGGAAAAGGATCATTTCATATCGGAGGACAGTCCCGTTAGCACTACGGCCATTTGGAGCACTGACGCTGACGATGACATCCATCCCGTCATCAATGAGCCCAACCAGCGACCCAACCAGAAGAAGAAGAAGAAGAAGCAGCAGATGAAGCGGCGCAAGCAGAACAAGAAGCGAAAGCAGCAGCAGCAGAAGAAGAAGAGGCGTCGTCCTGAACTAACGGAACAGCAGACGAAGAAGAAGAAGAAGCAGCAGCAGCAGCAACTGGACGAAAGCTTTGGAAACAATGATAAGCAGCCATTAGAATTGGGATCGGGATCGGGATCGGGATCGGGATCAGTGTCTGCACCCAGCAAAAACAAGAAGAAGAAGAAGAAGAAGAATAGCAGCAGTAGCAGCAGCAGCAGCAGCAGCAGCAGCAGTGTCAACAAGCGTCGTCGTCGTCCCAGCTCCAGCTCCAGCTCCGGCTCCAGTTCTAGCTTGAGCGATCGTCCTTTGGGCGGCTATCGACGTCGCCGACCGCAGAGCGAGCGACAGCGCGAGGAGAAGCGACGCCGCCGCCTGCAGCAGCAGAAGCGTCGCCGTTTGCTGGAGCAGCGACGTCGTCGTCGCCGCAACAGGCTACAACAGCAGCAGGGCAATCGCAGGGATTACTATAACGAAGAGCCCATCATCAATTGCATCTACATCAACAAGGATCCGACAACGACGACGACAACAACGCAGCGTCCCTTCTGGAACATCCTCGGACGCGATGCGAGCTCCGTCAATGATAGCGGCAAGGATACGCAGCTGCCCACCCGCGACTTTGAGACAGAGAAGGCTCTGCTCCAGGCCATTCGACGCAATGCCGAATTTGGCAATCGCAAGCGCACCAATCTCAGATTCGTCGCCTAAAATCGAACGCTGAATAATTTATTTACACACACACAGATACACCACACCACACACACACACACACATTCATTATGATTTTTTTTTTTGTCTAGCTTTGTAATTATTTATTTATTTAAATGTACTTTTTTTTTGTATTACTATTGGCAATTAAATTTTCTTGAATAATTTGTTTCTTCTAAGCTTGCAACATGTCCTTTCTGTCATCCTCAACACCTACCCCTATCCCTACCCCTACCCCTACGCCCGACACACATGCAGGTGTGTGTAACACGAGCCCTTCCCACGTCCCGCGAGCCGAGTGCGAGACTGACGTGGCCAACGGAGCCACCCCAAGCAAATGATATCTGGCTTAAGGGCTGGGCTGGGCTTGGGGGGGGGGAGGGTGGAGGTCAGGCGCAGGATATGTGCATGAGTGAGCACCAGAGAGGGTGGGGGGGTGGAGTGTGTGTAGTGTGCGCTTGTTTATGATTTCCGCCGTTAGATGGCGCCAGCAATCGGAATTCAAAATGTCAACGGATTGCAACAATCGCTGCCTGACGCTGCGGCATTTCCTGTCGCCCGTGTGGGTGGCAACCCTACCAACAATTACCTATCTCTGTACAGTGGGTAAGAAAAGTATTTGCAAAGTGCAGCTGCTGCCACCATAAACTCATAAACTGTGCCGCAAAATGTGATTCCTGGCGATATTCTGAACTCAAATATTGCGACAATTGCAACGACATTTGCAGTTCGCTAATCTAATATCTAAAACAGGGTATCTAGCGGTTTATAATAATTGCCAGTTGCAGTTTTCTCACTTTAAAAATTTTAAGTTTTTCATTTCGATGCCGTTTCCTAATTGAAATCGTCTAATTTCGGTTTGACATCGTCAAATATACTCTTGAATATGTTTAAGAAAATTAAGCTTTATTTTGAAATTACGAAATTATGATTCAAATTGAAAATTCATTCTTTTGTGTTCCAAACGACCTGAAAAAATTGGTTTAGCAAAAGCAAATTGAAATCACTGAACAGTTTTGTGTGAATACGAATTTGGGAACTGCTCCTGCACTGAAAATTACTAAAGTTCCTTACTCTGTGTGTGTGTGTGTGTGTGTGTGTGTGTGTGTGTGTGTGTGTGTATGTGTTTACGAGTTGTAGGCGTAAAGTTGGAGTCGATCGATATTCGGCGTCCAGCAGCAGCGGCAACAGAATCCAGGCAGCGAGGCAGCGAGGCAGCCAGGCAGACGAGGAACACTTCGTGCGAGTTGTGGCTAGCAAAAAATGTATCTACAAGATACACACGCCAAAACACACAGATACATTCATACATATGTACATATGTCAGCAAGCAACCGTGCTGACTGCTGGGCGCATTTAGTTTGGCTTCCGCCCATTTCAGTTCACATTTTTACTGCTGCTTTTTGCTGTATAAATAATAAAAAGCGTGCGCGCACAGGACACAAAAGAGCAGAATACACCGAAGGGGTCGTGGTGGCATCGAGGGGGGTTGGGGTGTCAAAACAAAGAAGGTAAACTGAAAAATGGACACTGCAAAATACAGCACACAAATGGAATTGAATCTGTTTTTGGGAGCAGTGTAGCAAGCGGGCCTCTGCGGATTGCGACAATCAACTTTTCTTCTTTTGTTTTTGTTTTTTTTTTTTTTTTGGTTGCTGCCACAGTTCCTCACAGGTGAGGATGAGGAGGGGGATATATGTAGCAAGGTTGCACACCAGCCGAAGACATGCGAATGTTTTTTGGTTAACCTTAAGCTCTTCTCACACAGGATTATTAATAACAACTTGGCATGTTCTAATGTTGAATATATTAAATGCTTTTCGCACGTTTCATAAATCCAAAACCACAACTAGTCAATATAAAGATACTTTTTAGTTGGAAAAATGTGTGTTTGTTATCCAATATTCACATAATTTTGATACTTTATAAATATTATATCAAACGGAGTACTTTATCTTGACAAATTCATCTTTAACTTGTATCAGAAATTGGTTTGAATCGATATTCTCGCAACAGGGACAGTTGTCGATATATTCAAAGGAAATCTTGAACTAAATTTTCAAATTTCAATTCAAGAATTTATTCTGTATTTTTCTGTTTATCTTTTGAAATATTTAATTCATCGTGAAATATTTAATTTATTTTATTTAAGCTGTTCTGTTCATGTGTTTAATATTTTTGAGTTATGCTCTAAATTGGTGAATCCTATTTTTTTGGAAATCAAACACCTAAATTGCCCATTTAGTTTGCCTTTCTCACGCCTCGCTCTGCTCTCCTAGGGGTTGACTGGCTGTGGGTTGTTGGCCTGTTAGCCTGTTGGGGTTGTGGATTGTGTGTGGGTGTCTTGGATGGTTTGCGTCATTGATATCGTGCGATGATGATTCGTTACTTTTGCACTATTGGCACGCGTTTCATTTTTTGTTTTTCGTTAATATTGCGTGTGGTTTTTTAGTAAATATTTACGCTCTGACTGTGAACGTTCTTTTGCGGCATTCTGTGCGTTTGCTCAAGAGGTCGATGCGTTCAGCATAGGCGTGTGTAGGCGTGTGTAGGAAGGGAGAGGGGGGGAGTTTGTTTGTCAGTTGGCTTCACACTTTACCAAAATCGCTACTTGCTGTAATTACTAACTGACGGAGAGGTCCTTGCACGGTCCTCGGGAACGGCATCGCAGCTGTGCGTTTCTGTTTTATTTATGTTTCGTTTTTTATTTTTGCAAGCGGGTCATTGGCATGCGGACAAGAAACGGGTCCTCGATTTCTCTTGCGGTTGCCCCACATATTGCAAAGGAGCACGAGCCAAAAGACCAAACCACGAACAGGATCAACAACAACAACAAAAACAGTAACAACAACAGCAACAACAACAGCAACAATAACCATATAGAAAGAAGTCGAAGTCGAGTTGCTTTCGGCACAGTCTGTTAGTTTCTACTGATTTATGGCAGCGTATTGATTAAGTGTCGAAGTCGTCTCATTTTGGTATTCCCCCTCTCCGCCTCCCCTTTAGCCAAACCCCGTTGCTCAGTGCTCCTCATCAAGGTGTGAGGCGCAACCCTCGCCGCGAGTTTCATTTGACGCCAGTTGCTGTCGACAGATTGCCGAAGGGTTCGTCGCTCTGTGCGAAGGCATGAGATGTTTCAGGCAGATGGTTTTTAACGTGCTGCTCCTTTTTTGTTTTGTTGTTGTTGTTGTCCTCTTCACTTCTCTACTTTTCTCTGCTCTTCTCTCGCTCTTCTTGCTCTTATCCTGACTCGCCTAGTTACGCAATGATTTGGTCTGCTCCGGTTCGAAGTTCGAGGGGTTCTGGGGCGAGGGCGTGGGCGTGGGCGTGTGCGCCGGCCCAGGTATAGAGGACCAGCAACAACATATAAAAACACAAAAAAAGGTGCGTCTATTTAGTCATAATTGGATGCGTAATTGGCCAACTGATGACGATGATAATGCAGATGTAGACAGCGAGATAGAGAGAGAGAGAGACGGAGTCACAACGAGAGGGATAAAGGCAGATAAAGATTGTTTATGTGGTTCATCAGGCATTTTATGAGCTCTCAACTTGATGGGATTAGCGCGTATCAAAGGTGTGAACAATTCAGTTAACGATTCAGTTAGCTACTTACAACATGTGCTTCCCTAATCCACAAAACGCAGCGAGTATTGTGTATTTTGTACGATACAACTTTTAATATTTATAATGAAAATTTAAAAAAAACAAAGAGAAAGTTATTTAAAAGAAATTAAAAATAATATCTAAAAGATTAGGCAAGGGATTAGTAGAGCTAACAGCCGGGACGAGAGTGAAATCCACAATTTGTATTTCTTAGAGTTCTTAATCCTACACCTCAAGGATCGTACAGAAGACTGCCAACTTGTACTACAAAAAGTTATCAAAAGTAGAAAATTTCTTTGAGTCCAGTAATCACCTCAATAACAATAGGAATTTGTAAGTTTTTCCTGATTATAGATTAAATGCAGTTTAGATGTGTACTTCAATTGCATAGATTGAATGAATTGTTTAGTTTTAAGGTCAAGATATACGAGATATATACTATATGCTGTAGTATATATCTGCTGATTGGGAAGATGTTTCCCATTGATTCCCCAAATTTTGTGTTGAATTTAACTGAACTTGGATGTGGAGATAAGTTTTTCTTTATTTCGGATGTCTTAGCCAAACTCAGCAGTTGACGTTTTGAAAAACAAATAAATGATTAACATTAGACTAATATATGTATATATAGCTCAGGTCTGCAACTATATGTTGAAGTTAACATCAGATATCTACTCTTTCTTGGTTCATTTCAATTAATTTGCGGTTTGGCTTGGAATTAACTGTGCAACGCGGCAGCAGCTGCTGCTGTAGCTGGATGCTGCAAGCAGAAGAAAAAGAAGAATATTATGTTGGCAGCAGAAGCTGCACAAACCGATCGTGAAGTTAATTATAAAGCGGGGCAACAAACAACACACACACACACACACACACAGGACTGACTGGCTGGCTGTCCTTGGCAGGACCTAGTTGATCCTGCTACGCGCTAAAATTGATGCCCCCAATTCGAGTGGAGGGAAGAGACATTAGGGGATTGTTGTTGTTGGGGGGAGTTGGTCGAAATGCAGCTTGCCGGAGTGCAGCGTGCCTGCTGCAAATGGAACGAGAAACGGTAAACGGGGGAAAACTGGTAACAGGTAAGAAACAGGCAGACGCTAACAGGTAATAGGATGATGCCTTCTGCAACATGATGTTGCAGTTTTAAGATCATCATTCCACAATAAGGGAAAACGGGGCAGGGCCGACAGCGCGGCAGGGATGGGGAGCACAGATGAACAGAAATAAGGGGCACGTGCCGCCTTTTGCTGCGCTCGACCTGTGTCTCCTTTATTTACGATGCGAGGCTTCTCGTTTATTGTTGTTGTTATTCTGGTTGTTGCAAGGATGCAAAAGGACTGCAACATCCGAGCGAGGGTCGTCGAGACGCCGCACAATGCACCTGTTAGGCCTATTAA